CCCCAGCTGCCACCTGAGGTTCATGTAACCACCCTTCAAGACACCCACACCTGCACCCCCCCCCTCAAGGTACTCGCACCATGCCCCTGCCCTCCCAGGCACCAGCGTCCACACTCCTGCCCTTCAAGGCACCTGTACCTGTGCCACTTCCCTTCAAGGCACTCACACTCCCGCCCTGCCTTCCAAAAGACACACCCTAGCATGACTGTATCCTAAATGGCAGGACTCATTCATCTTCCCCTGGACCACTCTAACCATCCTGAAAACTATCCCAGACTCCAGAAATGGGAAGATCCAGTCTTCGGTGCAGGTTCCAGGAGCAAACAGCCAAGCTACAAACAACCAGATGGCTACAGGCTAGTGCAAGAATACAATCAACAGAAACCAGGACATCATGGCTCTACCATACCCCCCCCCCAAGAACAATGGCTATTCTAATGCAGCTGAAAAAAGGAAAATGACTTTAAGTGTATGCTTATGCAATTATTAGAGGCATATAAAGAGAAAACAATAAATTTCTCAAAAAAATAAAGGAAAAAAAAAAACAAACAAATAGAAACCATTACGAACAAACAGGAAACCACAAACAAAAGTGAAAAAAAAACTGTTCAATACCTGAAAACAGAATTAGAATCAATAAAGAAAACACAAATTGAGAAAACCCTGGAGATGAAAAACTTAGAGAAGAGATCAGGAACCACAGAGGTAAACATCACCACCAGAATGCAAGAGATGGGAGGAAGGAATGCCAAGCATTGAACATACAATTGAAAAAATTGGTAAATCTCTCAAAAAATATTAAAGTGGAAATATTCCTCACACAAAACATACAAGAAATCAAGGACACTGTGAAAAGACAAAACTTAAGAGTAAGAAGAATAGATGGAAAAGAAGATTTTAGGCTCCAAGATCCAAGAACAATGAAGCCAACAGAGGTCATGAATCAAGGGGACCTAATAGATGTCTACAAAACTTTTCATCCAAACACAAAAGAACCAATGGAACCTTCTCCAAAATTGACCATATAATTGGTCATAAACCAAGCCTCAACAATACATGAAAACTGAATTAACCCATTGTTCTTTATCAGATCACCACAGATTAAAGCTAGACCTCAACAACAACAGAAAAAACAAAAAGCTTACACACTCATGGAAAATGAACACCTCCCTGCTCAATGATCACTCGGTGAGGAAAGAAATAAAAAAACAAACTAAAGACTTCCTAGATTTCAATGAAAATGAAGGCACAACTTATCCAAACTTATGAGACACCATGAAAGCAGTGCTAAGAGGAAAGTTCATAGTACTAAATGCCTTCATAAAGCAATTGGAGAGACCTCATATCAGCAACTTAACAGATCAGATCACTGGAAAGCTTTAGGAGAAGAAGAAGAAGAAGAAGAAGAAGAAGAAGAAGAAGAAGAAGAAGAAGAAGAAGAAGAAGAAGAAGAGGTCGTCAATACACCCAAACGGAGTAGATGGCAGGAAATAATCAAACTCAGGGCTAAAATCAATAAATTAGAAACAAAGAGAGCAATACAAAGAATCAACAAAACCAAGAGTTGATTCTTTGAGAAAATCAGCAAGATAGACAAAACCCCTAGCCAAACTAACAACAACAACAACAATAACAACAAAAAGCCAACCTACAGACTCAGTGCAATTCCCCTCAAAATACCAACACCGTTTTTCCCAGACCTTGAAAGAACAATTCTAAACTTCATATGGAAAAACAAAACAAAACAAAACCCAGAATAGCTAAAACAATGCTATATAATTTCAGAACTTCTGGAGCCATCTCCATACCTGACTTCAAGCTATACTACATAGCAATAGTGATAAAAACTGCATCGTACTGGCATAGAAATTGGCTGGTTGATCAATGATATCAAATTGAAGACCCAGAAGACGCACCTATGCACACCTGATTTTGACAAAGGAGCCAAACCATACAATGGAAAAAAGACAGCATTTTCAACAAATGGTGCTGGTCTAACTGGATGTCTACATGTGGAAAAATGCAAATAGATCCATGTTGACTACTCTGCACAAAGCTCAAGTCCAAGTGAATCAAAGACCTCAGCATAAAACTGGATACACTAAATTTGCCAGAGGAAAAAGTGGGTAAAAGCCTTGAACTCATTGACATAGGAGACAACTTCCCGAACAGAACACCAACAGCTCAAGCTCTAAGATCTACAATTAATAAATGGGACCTCTTGAAACTGAAAACTTCTGTAAAGCAAAGGACACTATCAACAGAATGAAATGGCAGTCCACAGATTGGAAAAAGATCTTCACCAATCCTATATCTAACAAAGGGCTATTATCCAGAATATATAAAGAACTCAAGAAATTGAACACCAGCAAGCCAAATAATCCAATTAAAAAATGAGGTACAGAGCTAAACAGAGAATTCTCAACAGAAGAATCTCCAATGATGGAAGAAACACTTAAAGAAATGCACAACAGCCTTAGTCATCAGGGAAATGCAAATCAAAATGACTCTGAGATTCCATCTTAACCTGTCAGAATAGCTAAAATCAAAAGCTCAAGTGTCAGCACATGTTCACAAGGCTGTGGAGAAAGGGGAACACTCCTCCATTGCTGGTGGGAGTGCAAACTTATACAATTTTGGGAATCAATCTGGCACTTTCTCAGAAAAATGGGAATAGCCATACCTCAAGACCCAGCTGTTACAGTTATTTTATTAACTGTGTTTCCTTAGTTTCACTCTTAACTAGGCTATCATATAAATAATTGAGACTCTTTATATTTGTTTATAATAAGTTTCACAACACAAGAACTGAGCAGTTATTGCTCTATTCTTAACCCTCCAGGTTACTCTGGTTTCCTCCCAGCATACATCCCCGGATACTTGCACTTTGTAGCTTTCCTGATGAGCTCCTCTCCTGGTGTCACCTGGACCTCTCCCCATGGCTGAATCCCCTACTTCCTCTCCTCTAACTCCTCCTCCTCTGGCTGGCAGGATGTCCAGCCCTATTCTCTTCCGTAATCACTTTGGCTATAAGCTGTTTATTGACATATCAGGGAATCATTGGGGAGCAGAGTCTATATAACATTGAGACGGGAGATTTTCAAAACAAGGCTTGCAGCCTGATATGGGGGAATTCGGAAATTAGCATTTAATTACACAACAACCTTATGCTTACACCCAGCTATGCTACTCCTGGACATACACCCAGAGGATGCTCCACCGTACAACACGGACATTGAAGAGTCCGTGGCTCAACTATGTTCATCGCAGCTTTATTTGTAATAGCCAGAAACTGGATACAGCCTAGATGTCCCTCAATCGTGGAATGGATAAAGAAACTGCAGTGCATTTACACAATGGAATACTACTCAGCCATTAAAAACAAGGAAATCATGAAATTTGCAGGCAAATGGATCGAACTAGAAAAGATCATCCTGAGTGAGGTAACACAGATCCAGAAAGACATACATGGTATATACTCACTTATAAGCAGATTTTAGTTATAGATTATAGGATAGACATACTTATAATGCACAGACCCCAAGAAGATAAGTCCAATGGGCATCTTAGGCTTCATGTCAGCCCACTAGTTAAGGGAGTGGGGGGGGTCTCCGACATGGACTATGTTGCCTGCTTTTTGATCACCTCCCCCCCCATGGAACTTCCCTACCAGGCCACACGGGAGGAAGAGGAACTTAGTCCTCATGTGAATAGATGAGCTGGGGTGTCTGGGTAAGGGGGCTCCCTATTCTCAGGAATAGGGCAGAGGGCATGTGATGAAAGAGAGGGACTGGGAAGAGAAGAGGGAAGGGCCTATGGCTGAGATGTAAATTGAATTAATTAATAAAAAAGATTAAAAATTCTTAAAACAAATCCATTTGTGTGTCCTAGAATTTTTAGAGATAAATAAAATTATTTGTGTACATATGACATGGGATGGAAGCGAAAGCATCCAGGGTCAAAAGGGAAGGGAGAGGGGAGAAGTGGGAGAGCCATTGGGTGTAAGGGAGCGTATGCTCAGAGTACATTATGCCCAGAGTATATTAAAATGGTCCCAGTGACCTAGTACGATAGAAAATAAACACTATCACTAATGTAAGAAAGTTTACTCCTGGATGTAGGCATTTTTAAACAAAGTCATTTCTTGGCCTTGAAATAATGAGTCTGTGTGCTGAGACAGCAAAGAAGAAGATGATGGTTATGACCTCGATTTAATAATGGAAAAAGGAAACAGGGTCTCAGTGTTGCCAGGGGCACTTGCCAAGATACTAGCCCTGTGGGGGCCCTGAGAATTCATCTCTCAGGCCTGTGGGTAGATCAATGATCCGTGCACACTTCATGCTTGTGGTCTACCAGAAGAAGGTCAGACACTGAGAGAGGGAATAATTGGAGATGATCAGCTAAAAGGAAAAGAGCACACAAGAGACCTCCTGGTCCCTGCAACCATCCAGAAATGGAAATCCTTGGACAGCTTTCAAGTGATGACTTCCAGAAATTGTTTCTATTTTTCTCCTTTGAGATCAAAGGGAGTGATTTCATTAAAAGACAAACACACAGATTTCTGTATTTTAATTCTCTCCTGTTCACTTGTGCCATGACTTTGTTTAGAGAACAGGACTGAATAGATTTTTCTCAAGTAGAAGTTTTGGAGAGTGATGGCTCGCCTTTAAGAACGTTCATGTGTAGATTTAAAAAGAGAAAAAACAAACCATTAATTGTTTAGTTGTCTTGGCAGCACGAAAGTGGAAATAATTTTGTTAAGGGACCTAAAATCTATCTCTCCTATTTTTGCTCCTTTAAACAAACAAACAAACAAACAAACAAACATGTATCACTGAACACCACAGTTACAGCCAATTAGACATTGTGTACTCCATGGTGCCTAATTTAACATTCATACTCTATAGCCTCTTTAGCATTGGTCATATTGTTGCAGTGGTTAAGTTTGATTGTTGTCTGAGACCGTATCTCTGTTTATGTATGTGTCTTCTTATTAACAGGCATACGGTTCTTTCCAGTTAGAGGCTACTGCAAAGAACGCCCTGAGCGTTCTCGTTCCGGTCCATGGGAGCACTGGAGCACGTGATTCCCCAAGGTGTGGGCCTCGGGATGCAACTGCTGGGGCATGAGCGTGTCAGTGTCCTTAGCCTTAGGAAGCACTGCCAAACTCATTCCACTGAGCCCATACCTTACTTTGGCTTTCTATTTATAATTATTATAATGGTTTACTCAAGCCATGTGGGTAAAGACTGCACCTGGCTTTCCTGGCAAGGATGGGTTGGTAAAATTGGTCTGGGGACAGGTCTGTTTGCCAACTCTTGTTTTCCTTGATTAAATCCCCACCATGTGATACATTGTTTCAAGCAGTGTTTCTCTTGCTGGTACCCCATTGACCCAAGCATCTCTTTGTTTACGGTCCTTTGGCCCATATCAGTATAGCTGGATGAAGTTGCAGAGAAGAAATCTACTGTGAGGAACTCATTATCAGAGGCTCTGATTCCCCCTTGGGCTTAAAGCATTTCTATGAAGGCTTCTGTGACATGTCGTACAATCTGCTTTTTTAATTATTTATTCCTAAGGCTATTTTAGAGATGCCAATGTAACAGAATGACTTAACACAGTTAAATGCCAAGCTAGGCCTTGAAATACCAATGTTGTCTTCTTCAGGGTTGGATGCTATGAGGATGCAAACATCTCCATGGCAGTCTGTCACCTTGGGGCTCCAGAAACTGAAAGCTCATCATGTCCGGGGATCAGAACGGTTTCTACTTATTAACATTTTTAGTGTCTGCCGTATAAAGCAGACGCAGAATGAAGGGCTTTTAAAAATAGCATTCTAAGTCTATTTGGGCTCAATACACTCTGCTAAAAAAGAGTTGTTGGTATCAGCAACTCTGGCCCTCTTGCTTGCTGCTCTCTGGATATAGGCTCCAGGGCCGTCAAAGATCTCCAAAGATTGAACCATCACCAGCCCGTTCTTCTGAAAACTCTTCTGATGAACTTTTTTAAATTTTTCTATCTAGAGACAGGTTCTAAAAATTCAAAATGAGGAAACAGGGCCAGTGAGATGTCTCAGCAGGTAAAAATCACTTGCTGTGCAAACTTGATGACCTGAGTGTGACCCCTGCATCCCAGGGTGAAGAGAGAATAGATTCCTGGGAGTTACCTTCTAACTTCCGTACGCTGCAATGATGCATGCCCACATGTCTGTGCACACACATGCTCGCACGCGTGCATGCTCACATACGTGTGCATGGCATAGTATATAATTTGAGCTTTAAAAGTTAGAAACTAGAGTCTGTCTTATGTGTGGCCGAGGTTTGGTTCAGCTTGGCTAAACATGGAACAGTGAAAAGATCTTACGAAACGAAGTAAACCATGAGTGTGTTAAGGGTTTAAGGAAATACACAGGGTTTCTCATTGCTATGCAGTGAATGTTTGTCCCTCCCAACGCTCACCGAACTTGAGTAACACTGTAACAGTATCAAGACATTAGACCTGTAAGTGGTGGGTAGATCTTCGGGGTTCCACCCTCATGGAGTGTCAGTCATGTTGTTTTAAAGGAGGACTTTGACACCCCTCCCATCCTCTTCCCCCCACGGTGTGAAGAAGACGTGGCTTCACATACCACCCCAGAGTCAGAACCAATCTTGCTGCCACCTTGATCTTGGATTACTAACTCTCACAAACGAAAACATATGAACATATATTGAACATAAGGAACATTTCTGTTCATTATAAATTACCTAGGCCAGGTATGGTTGCACAGGTTTGTAATCTGAGTACTGGGGGCTGAGATGGGAGATGGAGGGTTTGAAGCCAGCCTAGGCTAGTGTGTGTTATACAGCAAGATGTTGCCTGTGAGTATAAATAACTATTACCTAGTCTGCAATATTTCATAATGGCAGTAACACACTGAGACAGTCATTTTATATTGATGTCTTTTGGGAGATTGACATCTGAGTCAGATTATGCAAGGGTAGGGGATTAACTATAGTCAATGGCAGGGCATAGAGCATGCCAACCAGGGCTTCTGGGTGTTGGAGGAGGAGGAAGCTCACAAGATAGCAATGGAAGTGAGGGTCAGAGAAGGCTTTGAAGAAAGTTGGATGAGGAGGGGAACAGGGGGGCAGAAATAATCACCCAGAAGACATGATGACAGCATGTAAAAATGACAGAGAGGCTATCTATGACATGGCTGGATTATATTGCAGAGCTAGGAGAAAGGATTCTGATTTCCTTGTGTGGCAAGTCATCCACGTGATTTACAGGCCAGACGTAGAAAAGGCAAGAGCGTAACCAACAAGAGTGGTTGGGAGGCAGGTTGGGAAGGGTGATAATAACATTTTTTTAAATGTATCTCTGTTGATGAATTAAGGTTGTACACCCTTTTTTAATGTGAATAACAGGTAATGACTAAATCAAGCTAACTGACTTTTGCATTGCCTCACAAAGTTGTAATTTTGTGGTAGGAAGTTCTTTGTGGCAAAAAGAAAAAGTGTAACAACTTTGAGAATGCAGTTCATCCGAGGCTAACTTTAGTTGTACAACGACTCTCTGGAGCTGACTCCTCAAACTGAAACTTTATGCCTTTTGATGACTGTTTCCCCAACTTTCCCCACAGCCCGTGAGTCCCTGGAAACTATCATTTTACTCTCTGTTTCTGTGAGTTCACTGCTTTTAGATTTCCCATATCAGTTAGTTAAATTTGTTTATGCCTATCTTATCTCCCTTAGCATAATACTGCAGAAAAACAACAGCATTTAACCCTTAAGGCTCAATACTATCCATCGGTGTAGATATAGAACACGCTTCCTCGTTCATTCATCCACCGACAGACTCTTAAACCAATTCCCGTTCTTTGCTACTGTAAAGCCTGCAGTGTGAATGTGGGGTGCTGATACCCCCTCAACGCAGGAATGCCAACTCTTGGCTTATGAACCATTCCTACTTAGGACAAGATCTCAAGTCATAGGTAGAAGCATTAGCCCGTCATAATTCATATGGCAGGATAGGCAGGCATGGTGGGATGTTTTAGCCACTCTGAAAGAGAACCAGTTAAAGACTTACATTGCTGCGAACGTGTTAGGTCCTGACTTGTGGTACTCAGCGCGCTATCTGAGTACAACCTGAAAGTTGTTGTGTTTGTCTGAGGACAGAGACAAGGCAGTGGGCAAGAGCCGCCTCATCTACCGTGGGAAACCATAGTGGCTGAGTTTTCTAGAGTCTCTCCCCAGGTCAAAGCAACTATATGGGTGCATTCGGCTTTAAGCTACTCCTGCGTGAGCATCCACATCCTAAAAATGTTTCAGGTCCACAAAAACGCGTATGCAAGAATACTCAGAGCTTGTCCTTCCTAACAGCCTCTAAGCACTCCGGAGTCCATCATCAGACGAATGGGTTATATACACACTTTTTCTTGTGTGCAAGAAAAAGGAACAGGGGCTGGCATGGGCCGTAACCTGCATGCAGTCGTGGGCGTCACGCTGAGCAAAAAGGGGCTACACACGTGTTTCTGTTACGTGACCCCATTCACACAGAAGGAAAATACGGACCATTCAAGTCAGAAAGCAGATGCCACGGAACAAGGACCACAACAACGGACGACTTGCTTGCAATAACTTCAGGAGAGCACATGGCTTCAAAGCCTCATTGAGTTGTACGGTTTTAATTCGTGCATCTTACATGTCCAAGTGATGCTGCCAACAACGTGATTAGAGAAAGAGCTGATGTTGCAAATGTTCCCTTTCACAGGTTCCGTTGCTGGCATATTAATTCGTGTGGACTTTTCAGTGTTTACTTCTTCAGCATATTTTTGTGTGGTTTCCATGTTGTAATTATTCCCTGGTGACGGCTTTTTAAGCTGAGCATATATTAATTATACAAAGTAATGGACTTTGATCTTAGCTAGGGTTTCTCCTGCTGTGATAAAACACCATGACAGAAAGCAACTTAGAGAAGGAAGAGTTTATTTTGTCTTACAGTTTGTGGTCCATCATCCATGGGAGTCAGTGTAGGAGCTTAAGGTAGAAATCTAGAGTCAGGGTCTGAAGCAAAAACCAGTTCCCATGGCTTGCTCAGCCTGCTTTCTTATAGCACCAAGGAACCCCCCCCCATATACACACCCCCCGAGGATGCCATTACCCACAGTGAGCTAAACCCCACCACAGCAATCATTAAGACCGTACCCTACAGTCTGGCCTGCAAGTCAGTGTGATGGAGGTGTATTCTCAATTAAGATTCCCCATTCTGGGCAGAGTGCAGGGAATCTTAGGAAAGAAGGGGGAGACAGAAAGACCTGGAGGGGACAGGAGCTCCACAAGGAGAGCAACAGAACCTAAAAATCTGGGCACAGGGGTCTTTTCTGAGACTGATACTCCAACCAAAGACCATGCATGGAGATCACCTAGAACTCCTGCTCAGATGTAACCCATGGCAGCTCAGACTCCAAGTGGGTTTCCTAGTAATGGGAACAGGGAATGTCTCTGACATGAACTCAGTGGCTGGTTCTTTGATTACCTCTTCCTGAGGGGGTATCAGCCTTACCAGGCCACAGAGGAAGACAATGTAGCCAGTCCTAATGAGACCTGATAGACTAGGGTCAGATGGAAGGGGAGGAAGACCTCTTTTATCAGTGGACTGGTGGAGGGGCATGGGAGGAGATGAAGGAGGGAGGGTGAGATTGGGAGGGGATGAGGGAGAGGGCTACAGCTGGTATACAAAGTGAATAAATTGTAATTAATAAAAAAATTAATTTTTTAAAGAAAAGAAAGATTCCCTACTCCTAGATATGTCTAGGAAGATAAAAGAGATGTCTAGGAAGTTGACAAAAAACCTCACAGACTTCACTGTGATATCATCCTGACTGTGTATATCGCACCTTGTAATCATTTCATTACCATCTCTTTTTCTCGCTCTGTTCCCCCTCCTCTCCCCAGATAGTCCCCTTCTAGCTTCGTGCCCTTGTTTTAAGATCCAGGTTCCCCAGAGAAGAAGAAGTGCATGCAACACTTGTCCGTTCTGAGTCTAATTGTGTTTGGGTGGCGTGATGGTCTTCGCTTCCACCCATTGGCCTGTGGGTGATGTGACTCCATT